TATTGAGTCTAGCCAGTAACCACCTGATCATTTCATTGTTGGTAGTGTTATGGCCATCCCTTTAACTTATCGAATTTCCATAGCAACGGTTAGCTTAATTGAAAGTCAGGTGCCAACAGTTAAAGCGAAATCGGTGATTCTCCCTTTTTTTTTTTGTCGTAGAAGAGTTACCAAGTCATTGGAATAAATTCCTGGTTGCCTAGATTTGCTCGATTAAGAACTTTGAATTTTTCATTATATAGTTTAATGGCACTGTTTGAACCTTTCCGACATTCATTTACTTTGGAGATTTTACTAAATTATAACTCTTCTGACCCTTGTGGAGTCTTGTTGTTGAGAATAATGTATGAGCTTTCCGAACATTAAAAGATATTCCTAGAAGATTCTCTCAAAGAATGATAGTTCACAGAAGTCAGTTATGAATATTAGAAAGCTTTATTTGAACCCTTTTATCCTCAGGAGACCAGCATCTAATTTCTCCTTACAAGATCACCACTGCACTGAATCAAACATTAAGGTCAGGAGAGTAAAGAAAATGATCACAAAGTGAAAAACCCGTTGATTATTCAACTTATTACATCCATTTTGAAATCACTGGTGGTCCCTGTAATTTGATTGGCTCTAATCGGTGCGATTTATTCACGAATCGCACCATTTTTTGCTCTAAATCGCATCATTTTACGCTTGACTGAGTTTTTGAGACATGACGTCAAAGTCTTTCTGTCTTGCATACAAAATAAGATGTAAAAGCGTTTCCGGTTCCGCTTTTTATTTAAAAACCGGCTCAGTACTGCATCAGTAAAATATCTGAATTGACCAAGTCGTGTATTTGGACGATTTCAAAATGGATGTAATAAAGTGGTAATTGAACCTTGTGTCGTGCAATTTTGGTCTGAAATCATTTGATTTTGAAATCATGCGTATGATTTCAGCCCTAATAATACACAAGAAAAAATTAATCAGTTCTGATTGGTTAAGACGAATGCAGTTTTCAGTTAATTCAGTGCAGAAGAGAGTTAATTCAGTGCAAAAGAGGGTTAATTCAGTGCAGAGAAAGAAACAAACCAGACATTCTGATTGGTCAAAATTGCATGAGCCCTACGGGCTAATGCAACTTGGTTGGTCTTTGAAAAAATTTACTCGTGCTTATTTATTCCAAATTGCACTCGAAATCATGTGATTACCTATACAAATTGCACGACACAAGGTTCAATTACCATTAGAAATTCTCCTTGTCAGCACCTTAGTAAATGTATAGAGACCAGTATAGAGAATATGCATATTGATGTTGGATTGTAAAGGGTCAAGGTTCATCTGCGTGGAGCCTGGTTACCTTTTGAGGCGAAAAGTAGAGTAAAAACGTAGTTATGCTTCGGATAATTGATGATTTTACTTCAGTGTATCATTTGGTTCGGCAATAAAATTTAAGTCTTAGATCAATTTATTGCATGTTTTATAATCTAGTCGGAGTTTTGATCTTTAAAACGTAATTCGAAAGAAATTTCGTGGAGAAACTGTTAGGATGTAAACGTGCAAGAGTAGAATACGATTTATTGCCAAGTTGTGTAGACAGTACTCATTCTTGAAAGCAAAGGCATCGTAAATCTGATATTATCATATCTCATCGTCCTTTGACAAAAAATGATGATTTAACAACTTCTTCAAAGATTTCAGAAGGAGCAATTCTTGATCAGGATGAGAAAGAGTATTTTTGGAATTTTTCCGTTATAATATATACAACGAAAACGCAGTTTACTTAGAGCATTTACCATCGAAATCTCAAAAAAAAAAAAAAAAGATTTTGATAAAAGTTCAGAGGGCGGCTTTTCATTCTTGAAAATTTAACAAATCGACAGTGGTTTAGCGTGGTCTGTACTCTTATCGACAACGATATTCGTCATCATAGTGGTCAAAATGCTGTCACAATATCGACGTCAAATAAAACGAATTTTCCCGTGCGTGGCACGTTGTGTTCATTACTGCGAAGATCGCTTTGATATTAATTTCTTAACAGTCTACAGATATGATTTTCATCTATTCACAGCTGTTTATCATCACTT